AACTCCGTGGCTAGGCCTTGTCCTCCTCTTGTCCTCCTCTTGGCCGCGCCCCTGAACTCTGTCAACTCTGTGGCTGGGCCTTGTCCTCCTCTTGTCCTCCTCTGGGCCGCGCCCCTGAACTCTGTCAACTCTGTGGCTGGGCTCTGTGGCTGGGCTCTGTGTCCAGGCCTTGTCCTCCTTGTCCTCCTCTTGGCCGTGGCGCTGAACGCTGTCAACTCTGTGGCTGGGCTCTGTGGCTGGGCTCTGTGTCCAGGCCTTGTCTCGTCTTGTCCTGGCCGCGCTGACCTGCCAGAAAGCACATCCAAACTACCTTATTGTATTGTATGAACCTTTACTTACTTTTTTGTGACGCATCATGTGCAGATTGTGGCTGTGCTGTTGACATAGGATGAAGGAGGTTGGATCTGACTTGTTTTCGTTTCACGGTTGTCGTGTTTCCCTCACCACTTGTCCTCCTGAACTCTGTCAACTCTGTGGTTTGGCCGCGCCCCTGAACTCTGTCAACTCTGTGGCTGGGCTCTGTGTCCAGGCCTTGTGCTCCTCTTGGCCCCGCCGGGCTCTGTGTCCAGGCCTTGCCCTCCTGTTGTCCTTCTCTTGGCCGCGCCTCTGAACTCTGTGGCTGGGCTGTGTGGCTGGGCCTTGTCCTCCTGCTCTGTGGCTGGGCTCTGTGTCCAGGCCTTGTCCTCAGAGAGAGAGAGAAAGACAGAGAAAGAGAAAATTAAAGAGAAAGAGAGAGAGAGAGAGAGAGGGGGAGACAGCACCGTAGTCATTTTGGCTCAAGCCATTTGGCTCAAGCTGGCTCAAGGGCATTGACGAGTACCAGGGCGTTGGACTTTGTGACGGACGGCGCCTTTGGTATATCCTATACCTGTACGGCGCCTTTGCCCTTTCTCGTAACAGAGACGGACGAGACGCTGACAGTCTTTGGTCCTTTGGACTATCAGAAGGTTCCAAACCGCAGGACCTATGTTGCCTGCAAAGGATGCAGCTCCTCATGGATCTGGGCTGACAGAGTCAATTCCGCCAGATGGGGATGCAACAAGTGTGGTACCTCTTGGCCAGCCTCTGAAGCAAAGTGGACGAGTCCATCCCCCACCCGGAGACTGGCAGAGATCGAACACAGGTTGAACCGCCGACTGGCTTAGGCCCCAAGACCAAGCACATGGGCAACGCAATTGAGAGTACCCTGAGGAAGGCGTGGGGGAGTATGCCTCCAGAAGCTCAGGCAGCATTGAAAGGTGTTGGGATAGATTTCACACCGGAGCCGGAATGTCCACCTTTGGACGAGATCCTGAAGGCACACCTGGACTCACTTCCCAAAAAAGTGAAGGAGGCTGTAGTGGGCTTGATCAAGCCAGCGCCTTCAGCCACCATCGATGTCACTGGGCAGCTGGCCACGGTGGGTGAGTTGAGACAGTTGGCAACAAAGAAGCAATCCCTGCAGGGGAAAGTGGACGTGGCCAAGGACCAGTACAAGCTGCTTTTGGAGGAACTCAAAGGGGCGGAAGAAGCCATTGACAAGGAGCACAAGCAGCTTGGAGATCAGTCCGAGGCCTATGCCAAGCAGTTGAAAGAAGAAGCAGACAGATGCCACAGAGCATGTTTTGAAGGCTTTGGGACAGGCTGGTATCATTTTCAATTCTGACCAGCAAAAGGAACTGGAGCGCAATTTGGCTGAAACTCTGGCCAAGCGACGCAAGACTGATGGTGAAGCCCAGTTGAGTGGGTAACGTCAGCCGGACTCCTTGTGTTGGAAAAGAAGATGGAAATGGGGTGGTTCCTGCAGTGACGGGGTCCTGGAGGAACGAGGTTTGGATGGCAGGGCTTGGTAGAGAAGGCCCAGGGGAGAACTCAAAGGTCCGGGACTGTTTGAGTGTTTGGCATCAGGGTGCACCATCTCACACAGCTTGGGGTATGCAGGGTGCAGATGAGCGTGCAGAGCTTTGGACAGATGTTGAATGCAACGTTGTGGATGAATTTGTGCAGTTTTGCCATCAAGGATTGCAGCCGTATGTGAATGTCGATGAGTGCCATGACACACCATTTTGTCAGTGCACGATTCAGGAACTTATGACATTGACTTGGGTGTTGATGTTGGTTTTTCACATGCTTTAGAGCCTCGGGCGATGTCGAATCCGGGCGCTGCAAGTTTTGCCCTAGAGGGGCAGAGTGGAAGGACAGAAAGGGGAGGTCATGGACAAATGGGGAGATGGTCTGCCAACCCCACTGGTGTTGCCACCTCCAATACAAAGACAAAGGAGGATAGAACAGCGCTGGGTGGACAGCAGACTGGTGAAGGAGAAGATCAAGCAGAGGGCTTGGATGTGAACGAGGCACTGCCCTTGCGGATCTCAGAGCGGCTGGGGAAACTCAGACCTGCTGTCAGCAGGACCTCTAATCACATCCAAATGGCCCAGAACAACGAGCCCGACCTGATTCATGTTGGGCCTCAAATTGCTCTCTTGGGTGGGGGCAAGGACGCGCAAGATGATTACTACATCCTAGAGGATGATGAGCGAGAAGTGGAAGTGACCACGCCAGCCCTGCTTCAAGACAGGCTGATCACCTTGCAAGCCAACGCACTAGAGGCCATTCGGGCCTTGCCAATACAACGCAGAGAGGATAGTGATTACGGAATGGTTGAAACGAGAGTGTGGGGTTTGCGCATCCTACGAATGAGGCTAGCGCTGCAGGGAAGCATTCAACTGACCAGGCCGGTCACTCAGGAGTTGGATGTGCCTCAGGCAAATGAACTGCTTGCAGCCAATCTCACGCTCAACATCAGGGCAATCGGTGCTATGCCGATACAGTCCTCCAGATGGGTGTTGGATGGGAGCACACCATGACAAACCTGCAACAAGAGGACATCCCTGACATCTTTTAGGCCTCGGAGTTGCAACCGGTCATTGCTAGACTGGAACACCCTCAAGCCCAACACGATGCTTCCGAATTTCTGGTGCTGCTTTGGGAATTGCGGGGCCAGACCGGGCTTCAAGGTAGCCGGCACTCCCATTTTGGTGGAAGAGTCCATGATTTTGACACCCTGCCACTTTTTGTATACGCATGCTTGAAGCAGATGGAGATGGTGTCAGTTTTGAGCAATTGTTGAGTGAGTGGGCCAATGAAGCTAATGGCCGTTCAGCGCATTGTTTTCCACATTGGAACCCCCTCCACCTTCAAATGCGCGCAGAGAACCTCCACTAGTCATGGAGGGCATGCAACTTTTGTCCTTCGAGGAGTCATTGCGCATCAAGGTGAAGATATGATGTCGGGACACTATGTCACTATGTTGGTTGAAGGTGATGCAATCTGGACAGTTGATGATGGGCAGTGTCCGCAAGCACAGGCTGAAGTGCCTGAACTCTTCCAGCGAGGTGCTGTGATGATTTGGGCCTCAAAAGCGGAACCCGAACCATTGGGAGCTTTGAACCACCCAAAAAGAGGCCCAAACTTGCTGGTGAAGGAGTTGAGATCATGTATAGCAACGTCGCCCAGTGGAACAATCAGGCCAAAGAATGGCTGCTGCAACAGGATCTTCAGACAGTCATGCTGGTGGAGGCGCACCTCCGGGGCATCAAACAGGAGCAGGCCAAAAATGCTCTGTCCAGAAGCCGATGGCAGGGGTCTCAGTGCATGAGACCGGACGAGGGGGCACCAGTGGAGGCCAGATTTTCTGCTGTAGAGAAGGGCAAGCGGCATATCGTCTCCACCAATATGACCTTGATGGTAATGGTTTCCTGGCAAATGTCCTGCAGCTGGGAGATTGTCCTGGTCTCAATCTACCTTAAATGTGGAGAAGATTTAAACTCCCCTGCCAACTCGACAGTCCTTGGAGCCCTTGCAGCTTTCCTTCAAGAGTTGGCTGTGCCGTGGCTTGTGGTTGGAGATTTCCAAGTTCCGCCTGAGCGATGGGAAGGCCGCAATCTGTTGAATGTTCTGAAAGCTGAACTGGCTTGCAGTGGGCAGCCTACTATGATCAATGGAGCAGAAATTGATTACTTGCTGGCCAGTCGAAAGGTCGCACCTTTCCTGGATGTCAAGGCAGTCAACAAGGCGGCCCCACGTTTGACCCTCCCTCAACTGACTCACTTTGCAGCTGTGCTCAGGTTGGAGGACGCA